GGAAGAGTTTCATACTGCATAAGATTAATTCTTATAGTAATAGTCAATTATTGCACACCCTGCCAACTAGCAATTACAAAATAAAATTTTCAACTAATTTTGAGAGAAAGAGAATCACATGTAGTCCAGTTGTGGTTAAATTCTGTGAGTGCACATTAGCATATGAAGGTTAAACTTACAGAAAAGAATGTATTTAGATGTTAATTTAACATTTTTTTCCTCTTTGGATTAAATAAAGTAAATGCATTTGAACCTGTAATAGAAAATGCATTATGGAAGTTTTACTGGGAACTTGTCTTGTTTATATTTATATGGATGACATCAAAACAACTGTTGTTACTTTTTTGCAAACAGTTTGTCAATCTGCTGAACATATTGAAAGTAACTGAGCAGAAATTATGATGTATTTTATTTCATGTGGTGCATGAATGTGGCAAAATGGAGTGTAATGGTGGGTTTAGGCTCCAAAATTGTTTTAATCTAAAATAATCAACCTCTGTATAATGATATGAAATATCTTAGTAAGTCCTGACAAGATGATGATCTAGAAAGGCTACATTTTCCTTAAAACTATCCAGTTCAAAATCTTAACTACTGCATGGAGAATCTTATCTTGTATTTAAAAGGCTCTCAGATGTACATTATTTAGTAACTCATTCCTGAGAAACAAATATATATGTTAGTTAACATTTTCCTGTACCAAAAATGTGTTGCTGGTAATTACTTACCTCCTCTCACACTTTAGCTTTAACCAACAAAAGTTTCTCTTCCCTGCCTATCTAAGTATTGGTATGAATCTTACCTCACTTGCTCCAGCCTTTATACCCCACTATATTGCCCAAAGCAAGTTAAATCTTGTGACTCTCTCCTCCTACATCAATGCACTTCCTATCCCGGATACGTATATTAGCTCCCCGTTATTAGTTCAAATTCACTTTGAGACTGTCCAAGTTAGCAGACCTGAAACTGGCCATTCTGTGGGAAGGAACAGTGAGAGAGTGTGAAAGGAGGTAAGTACTATCAGAAATACATTTTTGGTATAGGAAAATGTTAACTTCCAAAACACACCTCTGTCACACTTTAGCTAGAATCCCATACTAACAAGGTGGAGGGGCTGGTGAGGGCAAGATCCATATAGAAAGCATCTGCATAGAAAAGAGGTGTGCAAAATTGAGATATAATAATAGTACACTAGTGAGGTCCACACTACTTCTGGAACAGGTATGCTCTTCACCTGGACAACATGAAATCTAGTTTCTGGGTGGTAAAGGCCAACAAACCACAGAGGCAAATACTAACATCATTAGAAGAACATGAATTTGTACAGGCTCCAACCAGGCAGACAAGGCCCCACATCATGTCACTGGAATTATAGAGCTGTGAGCCCAAATCTAGATCCAAGGTGTAGTGGCTAGGGCAGGAGGACTGCTTTGTATTTTGTCTTGTTTAGTAATGTGGTATTATTGTAACCTAATCTTAAAGTTACAGAATGTTGCATGTCAAGCCACTGGAATTACAAAGAGAAGGTAAGCAACACAAAAATGGATAAGCCCTTGCCCCAACTAGAAGAAGTACAAAATGCAACAAATCTCACTCAGAGCTATGGACCCTGTCATGTCTCACTTGACCCGAAGAAACAGAGATTACCTGGCCTGAGATTCAAACAACAATGCTAATTTCCCAACCTGAGAGGCAAGGTAACACACCCTGCCCACAGAATTATGAGGAGAATGTGGAACAACCTAAGATCAAGCAGTGGCATGGAATTGATGCTCCAAGTGCAGAATTACGAGGAGTCCAAGACTCTCTTACATGATCATTGAAATGGAGGTAATGATCAAAAAGATGGGCCACGTACAGTGTAACCAAATAGCGAAGAGTCATCTTTGAACTGGAATTATGAGATTCTCATGTAGGACGGTCCTGCTCCTACCATACATTTGGGAAGACCATCCAGGGTTATTGGTAGGAGGGCACCTAGCTTCACCCTATTCTTCTTGAGTGGAATAAAGACTTCAAGATCAAACATCAGTCACAAGGAATAGACCTCTGTCCACTAGTCCAATGACTGGAAATTGGGAGTGATGGGGATACTCGTGTTGGGGAGCCCCAAGGAACAATGCTCCAGAGACAGAGCAATAGGTGAGATATGTTCCCTATTTTGAAAAGCAAACCAACCCCAATTTATTCAATCCAGGAATCAGCAGGGATGGGCCAAATCCCCTTAAGCTTTACTCATGATAGTTCATGAGTGGTGGTCCAGTAGTGTATTGTTCGCAGTTTTATAACTGTTTACCACCCAGAAAGTGCACAAAGTGGTCTTAAAAAACAGATAGAGCTGAGCAATTAGTATAATTTGCTAATTGATTGATTATCAGGGTCATTAATTGATGACATTATTAATCGATTATTTTCAATAGATGGCTAAAAAACAAACTTATAACTCAACAAATTGAGTTTCTATACTTGTTATTGCAAAGCTACTAAAGCTATCTACCACTGTCATTAATTTTTACTGCTGACTAGAAGAAAGGCAACTAGCTGGTAGCACTCACCACCAACTCTCTGGCTATTTAATTAAATTTAATGCTTCTTTACACTGTGTTAGGTTTTAAATTTATAACTGGGTAACTGTATCCTTTAATGTTGTACATGCAAGTATAGACATGAGTGGAGGGGCCCAGGTAGTCCAGATTCCCATACATTTTTGTTCCAGAAGTTAATAACTGTATTCTTTGCTGTTGTATAAACAGGCACAGATTTAAGGGAGAGTTCCAAGGGGGTCAAAATCTCCATTCCACCTCTTAGATCTTTTATTTTTTTCAGAAATTAATAATTGTATTATTTAATGTTGTATAAGTAAACCCAAATCTAAGGGGGGGGGGGTCTTAAACTCCTCTAATTTTTTTTCAAGAAATTAATAAAAATAAAATTCAATAGTATCAAAAAGAAATATTAGATGTTAATTTTATTTATTTGATTGGTCTATTAATTATCATAAAAGTTTTTTTTCTTCATTTTTTTAAGTCAACATAGCTGGAATCTACAACAATCTAGTTACAGCCTCAGTCACTAACTGATTATTTCTAAGCATATACAACAATATGGAAACCATTTTAACATTGCCACAGTTAATTTTCATGGCTTGACTTTTTTCAGGCTCTCTAATAATGAGTGTATGTGCTCAAGATTTTAAAGATTTGTTTTCAAAGTTAGTATTGCTTAAGACACCTGTACCTCTTATAACATATACTTGTTAGATAATCAATTTTTCATTGTTCCTGCATTATAATACTCAAGAGAAAGAAGTTTCTATATTTTTGATGTCCAAAATAAGTGAAAATGCAATTGCTATGACTGCATAAGTGATGACTTAAAAAAAACAGGCTTTCTGTTTATAAACAGTAAAATATGAATTTTTAGGTGTAAATTTTACAATTTTTTAAATATAATTATAAATATTTGGTTTTAATTACAAAATTTGAAATGTTTATCTTTAACTGTTTTTATATCATATCAATCACATTTCTAGAAATAAAAGATATGAGCTTTGAAATCGTTGAATTATAATCCAACTCAACTAAGCTACTCATGATGAATTTGTAGTCTTTATAACTGACTTTATCATTATAATTACTAGCAGTGTGTAGTTATAAATAAAAAACAATGGAGGTAATATAAATTTATCAGTTGTGCTAATAGAAGTCTAGTTAGAAACCCCCCCACAACATCTTGGAACACCCCTGTATTGAGTAACAGTTTCTCAAAGTATGGATCTCTGACAACATTTAACATAATTTGAAATGTTCATGAACCATATATTTAACACAAGTACTGTCTCTAATTAGCTTTACATTTGTATTTTATCTTTTATGAACATCATTATTGTTCACCAAATATAATTTATTGATTTTTGCATGTGTTTTGAAAAATAATTTTATTTCCAACAAGGAAAGAAGTATTCAACTAACTTACACATGATGTAGGCCTAAGGTTGAAGCTTATAGATATTTCATTGTTATAGTTTTAGAGTGATAACGTTTACTAACATTATATAAAAATTGATTGTTTGAAAATGTCATGGTGTAATATGTTTATTTTCATAAACAAAAATTCAGTAGTTTTAAGTACAGTAATCTTGTGGACATTTCTAAAGCAATCTGCAAAATGTTATTAATTATATTATTATCAAGTTGTTACTGGTTTTGTTTTACTTGACGTGTATGATACATTTTTGTATACACTAGTTTAGGATGAACAAAAACAATCTACTCCTAAATTATTCTACCTGAGGACAGGATTTCCTCAAGTTTTGCATGTATTTTTGGCACAAATTCTGTAAGCAAATTTATATGTTAATTCTAATTATTCAAATAATTTTAACTCAAGAATGTTTTTAAATTGGTATTTTATTATATTTTGATACTTATTAGTGTAATTCATGAAGAAAAATGGTTAAAATCTGCATTTCTGCACAGCTGCAAAGAGTTTTGCATGGAAACAAAATAACCTACTTGTCAATTTTGTTTTAACTTTTCTGCACATCTCACAGAATATCATTATTTTTACAAAGAACCTATCATTTCTTGAGATTATATTATCTATTTCACAATTTTCGAGTATTTTCTTTAGGTTTTGTACAGGCCTTGGTTGAAACATTGCTATAGTGCCACATCAAGTGGTCCAATCATTTACTAATAAATAAAGCTTTGAAAACAGCAATAAAGAAAGTTTAAATATGATTAGATAGAGCAAGAATTAGACTACCATGCTTTAATAGAGTAAATATATAAGATTAAGTTGTTGATTTTTGTAAATGTTCCTTTCTTTGTGAAATGTCAAAGAATTTGTGTGTTAAATTATATCTGTTTGATAGCTACACAAATTGTTTTCAATACGAAGACATAAGATAACTTGAGATAAAGTAGGTAAGCTTACACAGTTTAGAGATAGGCTGAATAAGTAACAGAATAAGCCTTATTAAGAGTTTAACACAGTAACAATATGTACAATGTTCAGAGAACATTTTGTCATCATCAGGTTTAAGAAGTTTACCTAGAATATATATATACAATAGAAAGCAAAGAAGTCATATACACAGAGACTTAAGACTTAATAAAGGTATCTTATTGATGTTTGGTGCTTTGTTTAAAATTACAATGTCTTTACTTTTTAACAGACATCCTATGGTTTTGTTGAGTTACAATGGTTGTTAACATGAGGGTTTTTAAACAATGTTCACCAAATAAAATTGTCATCAAATCAGATGAATTTATTCTTTAATGAGTATGTGGTAGGCAAATGTAAAATATCATAATAAATCAAATCTTTAATAGAATATAATTTTTATGTTTATCCTATTTAAATGACCTAAGTAAAAAAAATGTCTAACTGGGTACTTAATTATTTGTAATTGAAATCATGACATGTTTTAAATTAAAAAAAACACAATATTACACTTAACATGAGAGTAAAGCTGTTTTCATTATTTAATTATCAACTATCAATTGTTTGATTGACAGAATATTAGTGTGGGATTACTGCATATTTTAAAAATAAGTAATGGTGATCACATGGTCATATTTGGTGAACATTAGTGATTTATCTGCCAAGTAAAAAATGTCCATAGAACTTGTGAGAATGTTTTTTAGACAAAAAAATGTTTTTCACAAATGCACAAATGCCAACCTTCTGCAGAGGTCTATCATATGAAATCAAGGGTAATTTGAAAATTATTTTAAAACAAACAATGTAAAAGAAAATAGGAAAATTAACACCATGTTAGAATCATGCAGTGGTAAAAAAAGTTAAGACAGCAGCACATACCTGTTTTTTTTTTGCCTTTCATAGATTGTAGGTGTCATAGTGTAATAATCAATTAGTTTAATATAACCAATTAATTTCCTGTCAAGTAATCAATTAGAAATTACAACTAAATGCCCAGCTCTAGTTTCAAATATATTTCCTTTCTTGGTATAAACACTAAAAACTGCTAGTCAGTAAAATTTGTAGGAAGAAAAACTTGATATTTTTACTTACGTTGCTCCAACAGCACTGAGTTTCAAAAACTGTGGAGTAAAATGGTAGCGTACAAAACGGCCAGTACTTGGATCTGAAATTTCTTGTTCCCTTGTATCTTTCTCTTTGTCCTCATCCTCTGACACTATATGTGGAGTAAAGGAAATGTCTGATCTAACACAAATAAAAAATTATGTAATAAAATGAAATAGAAAACTATTTTCTATTAATCTGTTATTATTGAAAATCAGTATAACACCAAGTGATAAAGTTGCAAAGATCAACTTAACACTTTCCAATAATATTTCTAGTAACAAGCATAATCAAGATTCATCAAGAAAGTGTAGTAATTCTGACACACAGAGGGCTATATATTTAGAAACAGACAAATAATGTCACTGCTGGTTTCAATGTTTCATTGTCAGTACTACTGTTTCAGAATAGAGGTTTAACTTTATGTCACCCAGCTGGGTCCACCTTGCCCCAAGGGCAAAGTTGCACCACTAAATTAAGAATGTTATAAAAAAATAACCTTCTAGTCATACTTCCGCACATTAAAAAAATAATTCAGAGTTGAAATTTATTCAATAAAAATGTTTTGCTAATTTAATCAAATATGTACAAAATTTCAAAATCATTAATTTTGATCTTGAGATGATTTCAGCATGCTCTAAACAAAACATTAAAGTTTGTAAACTTTCTGAAGTTCTACAGGATATAATGTGGTACACATATCTCCTAGAATGAATATCAAAATAGTTTTGAGCAAGATGGCATCAACTTAAACCTTGTAACTTCAACATTGTTGTCATGATGTGATGTTATTGCCTTATCTCAGCTTAGGGAAGTCATAGGCAAGTGATTTAAATCCTTAATAAAAGCTCTCAAGAAAGCCCACATCTCTAAAAGAGAGAGAGAGAACTCCTCATGCAGTGAGAAAAGAAGAAGGTAGGCCCATTGAGACTGCCCGTTCAATATCCTTGAGCCGAAGTGGGTCCCACGAAGATGGGAATGGAAGAAAAACTCCCAATGGAATAAGATACACCTGTACTAGGATTGACTCGTATCTTCTTCCCTTCAGATTGACAAAAATGATACCACATATTCTTCAATCATGCCAGAAAAAATAATCATATTCTTCTCATTAATGGGTAAGTGTTAAAAAATCTGGATTTTTGTTACTAGGTTTTTTATCTTTTTTTTTAAATTAGGCCTGGGTTTGTAATTTTAAAAAATTAAACAAAAAATAGTATGCGAGCCTGAAACATTTGAGAACCACTGATCTAGACTACGTAGAAAGAAGTAGCCAAGTGAAGTTGAAGTAGAATCCAAAACCAGAAAAATGTTAAAGGACTGGATTACAGGGAGAATGATTGTAGGGGACCTCCCTTATAAAAAAAAGCTGGACCTAAAGAACACTCAGCAACTATATATATAAGGTACCTTTTCTCTCTTGACACCCTTAAAATCAGTCCAAGTGGTCAGTGAAAGCAGTAATGGTAATTACTCTTGGAGCCATTCAAATGACTGCTCAACCCTAGGGACCCTGTTAATTGTTAAGAGAGATGTTAGATGGCAAAGATATACTTAGGTTACCATGGACAACATTGGTGTGGGCAAAGTGGTAACAGAGAAGAAATGATCTGCTAAGGGTTCCATATAGTTTGAAGAATCACAATTGGAAGCATTCAGAATCCTGAAGCTTAAAAGACAGCAATGTGATGAAAATAAAATTTTAAGAATGTATATATATTTGTTCTCATGGCCGGCTTTCAGAATATCCTTTGAAGGACACTGCAGTCAGAAAGCCAAATAGTGAATTTGGTGAGATGTAACCTGAAATTTACAACAGGTGTTTGAAAACATTCCAGTAAACAAGAGGAGCCAATTTCATTAGTTAATTTGTTAATGTAGCTGGAGCAAGATCCACTGTGAGCTATAAATAACCTTTCCAAGACCCCCAATCAGTCAATGCAGGTAACACGACATGTGACATCAAGGGCATAGATATCAGACTGTCTTCTACATGATGTATGCAATAAAAAAACATGATTTAAGGGAAATATGATAGAGCAAGTTTCATGCTTTTTACTTATTTAAGTTTTCAAGGGTAATAATTAATAAGACAACACAATGAACTGAATAAAAAATTTGATACAAACACTTGAATAGTGAAATCAGGTGGAATCAAATCTAAATGATTAGGACCAGAGTAGATCAGGCAAATTATTCACTTTTATTTGGGGACTTTCTATTAATACTTCTGTGTCAAAGACACAACTGATCATAAAACTTCATTAGTTTGAACAGCTAACAATAAATACAATCAAAATGTAGCTAATCATTTTTGTAATCATACATATAGCATTTAAACTATCACTATGCCTGTTATACTCCAGCCAGCCTGACAAACACTGGTATTGGGTGAAAGGTCTCATTGGCACTGGATATAGCAAATGTAGTGTGGCTGACACCTTATGATATATCCTCCTTTGCTTTCACTCATGGGATTTTAGAATTATTAATGTAGATTTCTCCCACTGAGGCTCTAGTTACATGACCTGTTCCACAAACAAAAATACTACCTTGCTGGTTCACCAGTTTTTATGAATGATCGTAAAGTTAATTCAAATATAATAACAATTACAAATAAATAAACAACAAAAATTAAAATAAGATAAACAAAAACTGTGATATTCATTTTTACCTATAGATCAGATTTGTAAATGACTTAAATAAAATTGGTAATAATTACAATTCACTTGCCTAAACTGATTCACACTGTTAAAGTTGTCATTTGTGAAATTTAATATTACATATATAGCACCTAAACCACAATTATGTCATATCCCAGCCAGCCTGATGAGTCCTAGTATTTAGCAACAAGACTTGTCAACACTGAATATAGCAGATGAGTGTGATTGACACAATAAAACATACCTTTGCTTTCACTCATGGGTTCTTAGAATAATAGCTATATCTTTCTCTTTTGACTTTTGAAGGCTGTAAAAAATTTAAAAATGTGCCTTTTCTTTTTTGCCATATTTGTTATCACCATCAAAATAACAGCATATTCTGCAAGAATCAATAAGCATTCC